ATTCGGTTTTTGTTGGTCCATCGCAAGAAGTTAGGTAGTTTAGATTAGGTTAGGTAGGGTTTTCAATGTTGTTTTTTTAACCCTTCATGTTGAAAGTCTGACTCACTTTGGAAGATTCATTGTTTTTGTTAGTGTAAGGAAATTAAGATCATATTTATTTATTAGAAAAAATCCAAATAAAAACTTGTAAAACTATCGTTTTGGCCGTGCAGCTATTTTCCGAAGGTCATAAAAGTTGAAAATACATCAAAAACCATTGGAACAAGATTATATCAACCTAACCTAACCTATTTGAGTAATCAGTTTCTCCACGTGGTACTAAACAAACAAGTGCCTTTATTATAAGTGTACGAAGATGTTATTTGACCACGATTCTGGGCCAAATAACCGTCGGCCATTTGACCGGGACCTGCGGGGATCGTATAGGATTGTAGTCGGGATGGTTGGGGGCATTAAACAAGTCATTACATTATGGTATTATTTAATTGTATAATTTCTGTTGACAAAAGGATTTAGTTTTATTTTAGATCTCTGTCAAATAAGCGGCGGTTATTGTGCCGAGTACCGGTCAAATAATCCCTGCCTATAATATAATAGTTTTACAGTGTTGTGTATTATATAGCTATTGGTCACATTTCCAGGAAGCTTCAAGGACCAACAACACATCTCGGTACGACAAGTGGAGACTCGACCGTAGAGACCCGTCCGGTCTCGCACACGACGCCGTTAACGGCAAACGGAGAAACGCCGCTGGGAGGTAATACCGACGTCGTCACTTCACGTCGTGTCATTGGGCGTACGAGCCGAGTGTATTAGAGTACAGGTTGTACCTCTCTAGTCCGGCATTCTGTGATCCGGAACGATTTTAGTTTGTCCAATAGGTAGATAGGCAGCTTCTTTTTTTTTTTTAATCTTGATTATTATTATTATTATTATTATTATTATTATTACAGGAGTATTAAATTTTTGCCCCTCAGGCCCCAATGTGGGTCAGTGACCTATGCCCGGGTGGGCTAATCCCCGTAGAAAAACAACAACAACGACAAAGCCGGGGGAAATTAAGGTTTGTTTACATCCGGCAGCTCTCTCTCTGTGCTTGTCTATACAGAGCACAACATTTAACCCTTCAATATATATTCTAGCAGTAAATAAGTGTTGCTTTCATATTCTTAAGTAGAGTAACGACGACATGTTTTCACGTGTGCGCACTTACATACGCGCAGTTTTACTTTTTTTTTACCATTGATGGTTAGCTACTTATATTGTTCCATTTATTAACATTAAATAACATTACTTCAAACAAGCATATTAATTTTTTTACATTAATTTTACTACAGCTACAATCAGGGTCTTATTTTCTTCAGTTTTATATGTAGAACCAATCTGTCACCGGTTTTGTAAGCTTTAACAAAAACAATGCCGGCAGCCGTCTCGTCTCGTCGCGTGTTTTAATATTACACGCATTAGTAATAAATTGTATTGTTAATTTTGCACACAAACATTAATTCAATAAAAACAAATTCAGAAACATTAATTAAAATATATATGAACAGTAAATAAGTGTTGCTTTCACATTCTTACATAAAGTAATGACGATACGTTTTCACGCGTGCGCACTCGCGTACGCGATCTCCGTTTTTATTTACCATCATCGTTAGCTACTTCTATTGTTCCATTTATTAACATTACTTAAAAGAACCATATTAATTTTTCTACAGCTACAACCAGGGTCTTATTTTCTTCAGTTTTATACGTAGAACCAGTCAGTCACCGGTTTTGTAATCGACGAAAACGGTGCCGTCTCATTTCCTCGCGTTTTAATATTGAGTGTATTATTAATGAATTGTATTGCTCATTTTGCACACACTAACATTAATTCAATCCAAAAGACTTTCAGTAATAAATAATAATGAATCTTTCGCACATAAGAGAAATAACGCCGTTTACACGATCGTGCACGTCGTCCGAACGTCGGCGGGCCATTCAAACCGTCGAAATTTGAGTTTCCGCCGTCAAAAGTTTTAAATGTGTCGGGTTTTTTTTGTGCGTTCAAATAGAAAACGTCGAATTAAAAACTCGCGAAATTTGAGAAGGTACTGTACGACATTTAACCCTTCAATATGTCTTCAAAGAGACCACGAAGCAGAGAAAGTGGTGCTAGTGTTTCCAAGTGTAAACAGAAGTCACTATCTGTCCAGGAAGAGGGCGAACTTCCACGGTCGGGAAATTTCCGGCGTCCGGCACCGGTCGGGTCCCGTGGTTGCCGGACCGGAGAGGTACAACCTGTTCTTGTATTTCAGTACACTTGTACAGTAATCCTATAAAAGTGGGCATTTATGTAAATGTTTGTGCGTAAAGTCGCGTCCCATTGGCATCGGCGGTACGCGACACTTCCAAAATATGGCCCAGATTCACGCTTTTCATCCCATACCCAATTTTGAATGTGTGTTTATTTCGTGTTTCTTTAAAGTACAGTACAGTATATTAATAACTTTAAGTTACGTTTTCAAAACATAATGTCATTGTTTATTAATTATGATACTCTATAAATGCTGTGGTACTCTAAATACTTTTTTCTACTTATATGAATCAGTTGAGTTGAGTAAACTTTTATTTGCATAGTTTTGAAGAAGACTACAGGACATAGTTTAAATTTTTACATATCAACAGTGCAGTACTTTATCTTAAGTAATATTTTCAGGCACTTTCTCCAACACTGCCTACAGTGGACCTGATGTGAACTAGAATGAAGTTGGCTGGACATGAAATTTACTGGACCTCAAGTAGTCTGTGGTATTGTATTTAATATTGTTGTGGTACTTTGAATGTTAGGAAAGTTCTACAGGCATTCCCCAGTTTGTAAGAGTACTGTGTCTTATAAAAACCTATGGTAAATCGAATCAATATTCCTATAGACTCGCATTATAAAAGCCAAGATACTTTTCTTCAATGAAAAAAGCTCCCCCCCCCCAATTATGTAGTCTCCAAAAAGTATTGATAGATTTTCTAGCGGTAAAATTTGAAACGCTGGGTGAAAGACTTTGATTTGATCTCCAGTGCATCAGCATAAATTGGTACAGGTACATCCGGTCACTATATGAGCAACAGCCATAGACGGCGGGTAGCGAGAGAGGGAGTCATCCTCGCGTGACATACAACCGTACAGTATATGCTTTACTATAACAAGAAATCCATTAAGCTATATTAATGTATGTATCGTGCTGGGTAGAAGCAAGGCATATGTAAAGAAGCCCCTGACTGAGGATTACAATAACATGGAAATATACTTTAAATGGAAGAGTTTCGGATCACAAACGAGACGGACCTCGAGGCGAACATTTCACCGTGTCGTAGTGACGGTTTCATTCGTACCGAGCTGCAGAATATAGTCGTCGACGACACGTATGATTTATGAGAGGTGACCAAGGAAATAGTAGTTGATATTAGAGTGAACAGTTACAGCAATATACAGTATATTGGTCTAATTGGGATCTGCCAAATATTATTGATTCGTAAATAGTGTCGGTTTAACGTCACAATAAGAATTTAAATCGGCGCGTCGCCGGTCTTTTCGTGGCGGCTGATCCATCGCGATACCGCGGGTTCGCTCGCCCCGTTGCGTCTTTCCGATAATTCCTCGGTTCGTTTGACGTGAGATCCCATTAATGACCGGCACGGCGTCGGCGTCCATTTACGACACGCAATCTCAATTCGCTTGACGTGCGCTCGGAAGCCTCGGAGGATTCGCATCTCTCAAAAACATACGTATGCTCATTCGTGCTCAGAGGTGTAGACGTAGAGTTAGCAACAGTTCTGAAACGGGTCGTGTAACATTGGTCGAATAGCCTCGAATCACGTCGACCCCGTGGCTAAAGATATTATTTTTGGGTGACCGTACACGTCGATTATAAGCCAATACAGGAGCTTCTCGACAGACGGACGAGTCGAGTTCCCGAGGCTCGTTCGCGAGTCCGACTTAACTCTTGTAGATAATGATATACAGTAGAGCTATACCGTATATACCCAGCACATTACGGTACAGTCGGTCCCCGACTTACGACGGGGTCAGGGACCGGCGACCGGGTCGCAAGTCGAAAATAATACCGTACATAGAAAATCTAAAACGGGTGTCAATTCTTCTTCTCGGCACCACGAGAACTCTCACTCTTACGGTACACAGTGCAATCACTCACGTCAGGACTCGAAAATAGGTAATTTGACAAAATTTTGGTACGACCGAGGCGGTCGTACGTCGAGTAGGTCGTAAGTCGAGGAGTAGCTGTATTTAACTAGTGATAACAGAAAAAGTTATTTCTTTAATGTTTTGTTTTTGTGTTTTAATGTTTTGTCTGTGAGTCGGTTCTCGTCTTCAACGTTTAGGTCACGAAGGAGGCTTAAATATATCTAGAAAAAAAGTTTAAGCTCCTGCGTAAATATCACAATAGATTTGCACTGTCCTCTGTTTGGTCACAGCAGATTATGTGAAATTCGAGCGAGAGAGATTTAAATAATAAATCCCGCAAAATTGTGCGTTTCTCCCGGAAGCACGAAAAGAATCCGTCAATAACGTCGCAGTTTCGTTCTACGTCGGTCACGTCCACGAAATGTAGACGCTATTGGACTGTACGAAACCGGGTATGCCGATTAAATTTTTGCTCGTCCATCGCAAGAAGTTAGGTAGTTTAGATTAGATTAGGCTAGGTAGGGTTTTCAATGTTTTTTTTTAACCCTTCATGTTGAAAGTAACTTTTTTTGGAAGATTCATTGTTTTTGTTAGTGTAAGGAAATTAAGATCATATAAATTTATTAGAAAAAATCCAAATAAATACTGGTAAAATTATCGTTTTGGCCGTGCATCTATTTTCCAAAAGTCATAATCGTTCAAAATATCCATAAAAACCGTTGGAAAAAGATAATTTCAACTTTACGTAACCTATTTGAGTAATCGGTTTCTCCATGTGGTGTTAAACTATTGAGTAATGTTTATTTTTAATACAAAGTTGTTATTTGACCCGGATTCTGGGCCAAATGACCGTCGGCTATTTGACCGGGACCTGCGGGGATCGTGTGGGATTGTAGTCGGGATGGTTGGGGGCATTAAACAAGTCATTCCATTATGGTATTATTTAATTGTATAATTTCTGTTGACAAAAGGATTTAGTTTTATTTTAGATCTTTGTCAAATAACCGGCGGTTATTGTGCCGAGTACTGGTCAAATAATCCCTGCCTATAATATAATAGTTTTACAGTGTTGTGTATTATATAGGTATCTGTTACATTTCCAGGAAGCTTTAAGGACCAACAACACATCTCGGTACGACAAGTGGAGACTCGACCGTACAGACCCGTCCGGTCTCGCACACGACGCCGTTAACGGCAAACGGAGAAACGCCGCCGCCGCCGACCCGCGGGAGGTAAGACCGACGTCGTCACTTCGCGTCGGGCGTACGAGCCGAGCGTATTAGAGGACTTGTATTGAAGTGCACTTGTACAGTAATCCTATAAAAGTGGACATTTATGTAAATGATTGTGTCTAAAGTCACTTCCCATTGGTGTCGGTGGTACGGGACCTCTCAAAATTGTGGCCCAGATTCACGTTTTTCATCCCAAACCAAATTTTGAATGTGTGTTTATTTCGTTATTCTTTAAAGTACAGTGCAGTATATTAATAACTTTTAGCTTCGTTTTCAAAACATAATGTCATTGTTTATTAATTATGATTCTTTACAAATGCTGTACTACTTTTTCTGCCTGTATGTTTCAATTCAGTTTATGAAACTTTTATTTGCATAGTTTTGAAGAAGACTACAGTACTTAGTACATAGTTTAAATGTTTGCATATCAACAGTGCAGTACTTTATCTTAAGTAATATTTTCAGGTACTTTCTCCATCACTGCCTAAAGTGGACCTGATGTGAACTAGAATGAAGTTGGCTGGACCTGCAGTGAAGTGGACCTGAAGCTAACTGGACCTCAAGTAGTCTGTGGTATTGTATTTAATATTGTTGTGGTACTTTGAATGTTAGGAAAGTTGTACAGGCATTCCCCAGTTTGAAAGAGTACTGTGTCTTATAAAAACCTATGGTAAATCGAATCAATAGAGTACTGTGTCTTATAAAAACATATGGTAAATCGAATCAATATTCCTATAGACTCACATTATAAAAGCCAAGATACTTTTCTTCAATGAAAAAAGCTCCCCCCCCCCAATTATGTAGTCTCCAAAAAGTATTGATAGATTTTCTAGCGGTAAAATTTGAAACGCTGGGTGAAAGACTTTGATTTGATCTCCAGTGCATCAGCATAAATTGGTACAGGTACATCCGGTCACTATATGAGCAACAGCCATAGACGGCGGGTAGCGAGAGAGGGAGTCATCCTCGCGTGACATACAACCGTACAGTATATGCTTTACTATAACAAGAAATCCATTAAGCTATATTAATGTATGTATCGTGCTGGGTAGAAGCAAGGCACATGTAAAGAAGCCCCTGACTGAGGATTACAATAACATGGAAATATACTTTAAATGGAAGAGTTTCGGATCACAACCGAGACGGACCTCGAGGCGAACATTTCACCGTGTCGTAGTGACGGTTTCATTCGTACCGAGCTGCAGAATATAGTCGTCGACGACACGTATGATTTATGAGAGGTGACCAAGGAAATAGTAGTTGATATTAGAGTGAACAGCTACAGCAATATACAGTATATTGGTCTAATTGGGATCTGCCAAATATTGACGTAAATGATGTGGTTAAGCATCACAATAAAATTCGTCATTGCGTGCCGGTCTTGCCCCGTGGCAATGACTGATCAACCGCGATACGCGGGTTAGCTTTCGCCCCGTTTGCGTCTTTCAGGCTAAATTCCTCGGTTCGTTGGCGTAGATCCGTATTGATGCAGCGTCAGCGTCCATTAAATAAATGCAAATTAACCGGCATTGATGGAAGCCTCCCGGGTCGCATCCTCTCAAAACTATCATGCTCTCATTAAGTACTCAGGAAATTGTAAGGCGTAAATTAACAGTTCTGAAACGGGTCGTGTAACATTGGTCGAATCACGTCGACCCCGTGGCTAAAGATATTATTTTTGGGTGACCGTACACGTCGATTATAAGCCAATACAGGAGCTTCTCGACAGACGGACGAGTCGAGTTCCCGAGGCTCGTTCGCGAGTCCGACTTAACTCTTGTAGATAATGATATACAGTAGAGCTATACCGTATATACCCAGCACATTACGGTACAGTCGGTCCCCGACTTACGACGGGGTCAGGGACCGGCGACCGGGTCGCAAGTCGAAAATGGGAAAATAATACTGTACATAGATGGGCGTCTCATTTTCTTCTCGGCACCACGAAACTCTCAATCTTACGCTTGCCGGCCATTTTAAAGGGAATTACACATGAAAATGTTGTCGGTACACAGCGCAATCACTAATGTCTGCATTCAAAAATACATAATTTGACAACATTAAGACCAATCCCCACATGTGAAGGGACCCATACAAATTGAACATTATGGCCATTTTTCCGTATTGTATTTACTAATTTTCTACATGAACCAATAATGTGTCCAAAGACTGGACTCCCACTGTTCAAGGTCAAAGCACTATAACAACCGAATATACATCTTATACATAAAATTTTAAATCACCACAACATTTTATATCAATGTTGAGTGAAATAAAACTTCTCAACTGAATCCAATTTGATGTCATCGTTTTAACATTATTAACTGTCTTATGGGATCCACTTTCTGCTGTAAACTTAACTAGACCGTCACAAAAACATACAATGTGTTTTACCCAAAGTAATTACTAATCTTCAACCCATACTGAAATATAGCTGCTCCTGAACTGTGCGTTTGCCCCCATTTATGAAGCACTATATCTGCTCTACTTCGTTCTTTGGTGGATTCTTACAACTCTTCTGAACAGCTGTACACCAGTCTGCCAGATTACATTTTTTAATAATATTTACTAATCCATTCATGTATCCTCTCTTGCCTTGCCTACAGAAGGTCCTTTTATCTTTTAAACCATCATTTATATCTTGTACAAATTTACCCCCACTGTTCCCTCTCATTAATCGAACTGCTGCAACTGTATTAATTTCATTGACCCTCTGTGAAATGCTCTGTAACCCTAGTTCCATTTTCATTATCTCAATCATGGCATTCTTTTGACACCCTAAAATTATTCTCATTGCTTCATTTTGCATGATCTCAAGCTTCCGTAGCCTTCCTTCACCAGTACAAGAGAGGACAGGTGCTGCATAGTCTATAAGTGATCTGATGGTAGAAATACACATCATTCTCAGTATGGGTACCCCAGCACCTTTACCACAACATGCTAGAGCCTTCAAGGGCTGTAATCTTGCTCTACATTGAGTGAGGACATGATATATTTCTGCCTCTTTACTTTCACTAGTAAAGCCAATATACATTCCTCAATATTTATACTTTGACACTTTCTCAACAATTTTTCCATTTAGAAAAACGGATTCAGTTCCTCTTCCTTTACATTAATGCAATCTGCAAATTTTTTACAGAGTTTCCTTGAAATAAGATGTCATCTGCATAAATGATGGTTACAACTCCTTTGGGATATTTGTGTGAGGCTATCTTGTTCATTAACACATTAAATAACATTGGACTCAATACTCCCCCTTGGGGAGTGCCTAGTTCAAGTGCTCTTTCCTCAGACAAACATCCCTGATACCATACACAGATTCTCCTTCCATGCAAGTAGTCACCTATCCAGTGTGACAACTTTCCTGATACCCCTAGAGCAGCTAGTTCATTCATAACTACTTCACTGTGAGCTTTATCAAATGCTCTTTGTAAATCCACAAAAACTCTACATCTGTCTGCATCATTTGATAAACATTTTATAACACGGTCTGAAGTACATTTCCCTTCCAAAAAACCAAATAAATTACAAGATAGATTTTCCCCCACAATATATACAAGCCTATTTAATAATACTCTCTCCATCATCTTGGAAAAACAAGATGTTAAAGACACTGGCCTGTATCCACCAGTTGCCTTAGGGAAAGGAATAACTATCGCTTTCTTCCATTCTGTTGGTAATCTACCCTCTGTATAGCTCATGTTGAATAAATCTAATAATGGACTATTTTCCATACTAACTAAGCAGTTCAAAATTTCATATGTCACACCATCTTCGCCTGGTGCTGTAGATTTTCCTTTTTTAACAGCATTTAATAACTCATCTTGAGTAATATCTACACATGTTACATCACAAATATTTAGAGCTGATGAAATAAATCTTCTTCTTTCATTTTGCCACTCATCTAATGCTTCTATTGTCCTGTTAGGCAGGGAGGCAACACTAGCAGCTTTAGCCCATTTGTCAACCAGTTTATTATCTTCTTCCTCTGGATGAGGATGGCTAATAAAATTACTCCTTTTTCCTCTAATTTTGTTAATATCCTGCCATATTTCTTTGAGATTTTTACTCTCCCCAATGTGCTGTGCAAAATCTTGCCAATATTTCTCCCTTGCCTCCTTCCTAGCCTGCCCACATATTTTGGCTATATCCATGAAGATTTCCCTATCTTCTTCTCTTCTACCATTCTTTACCCAATCTTTATGTGCTGCCCTTAACATTTGTGTCCATCCCTTCAACATTTTGTCATTGGTATAGCAGTGTTTCCTAGCCCCATGTGTCTTATCATTTATTTTTTTCTGTGTTGACTTAGTTAAATATCTTTCTATCTCCCCAACTAAGTCGACTTAGTTAAATATCTTTCTATCTCCCCAACTAAGTCATTATAAAAGCTATCCATACAGACTGGTGTATAATTTCTGTACCATTTCTCTATATTTTGAGTAAACACTTGAGTGTCATCCTTGTTTAGTTTCAATCTCTTCCTCCTATATCTCACCTGTCTCTTCCCTAATGGTAATTGAACATACACAACAAAATGGTCGCTGACTAGCTCCCTTATCATCTCACATTCTCCCTGGACTCCCTGACTGCTTATCATGCAAGCATAGTCTAACCTTCCTCCTTTAATATGAGTCACTTCCTCATTTCCTAACAAGTAAGCATCTGGGTGATCTTGTAAAAATTGCTAAAATTTTATAACATTACAATTAATTCTCACCATTGTTTGGAGTCTTGGATGTCGAGCATTAAAATCTCCTACAGTTGAGTCCAAAAACATGCAATCTGGTAAGAAGTTGAGGTCAAAACAGCCTCCAGAAATGTACAAATTTGCTATGTTCAATTCTCCTTCCTTCATATATAACTTTATACAGACACTTTCTATTCCTTGTACTCTACTCGGGCTTCCAACTAGTTCTGCTGGTATGGAATTCTTAATGTATGTTGAGACCCCTCTTATACCTTCACCCGAGTAGAGATGAAATCCCTTATATCCAGACAGTTTAAGCAGGTCGCCTTTCCTGTCCCCAGTCTCTTGAAGGGTAATTATATCAATATTATTTTTAAGGGTAAAGTAATGTACATCTGTCACTCTATTTTGTAGACCATTAACATTCCAGGACATTATCTTAAGGCTAGCTAGATCCAGGATTGATATTTACACGTTTTATATCCTTTCCAATCAGATTCTCTAAGAAGGCCCAATCCTCCTGCACAGATTCCCATTTCCTCAAAAGTTTTTCTTTATCAGCATTTTTACACTTTACCAACACATTTTTAAAACTTTCAGTTGTTGCTCCCTGCACTACACAATCCTTTATTTTCCTCTCCTTCCCTTTAATACTTATTTTAAGCACTGAATTTTTCAAAGGCTTGAACTCTTCACTTTTCTCTTTCCCTTTTAATTCTACATTATTCACAGCTTTGTTTTCCCTTTCTTTATTTATCACTGTATCAAGTCTTTTCTCTATCACTTCTATTTTCTGACCTAACTTTTGCAAAAGCTGAAACATCTTAAGCACCTCTTCTCCCAGAATTTCTTGCACAGTTTTATCACTAACCTGGAGGGCTGCACCACTACTCTCACTTGCTACTTGTTTATTACTCTGTTTGTTTCTGGCATCAACAACGCTTCCGGCCGCAAGCGCAG